AAGGTAAATAAAGGATTGCCTTACTAAATTTGATATGGGTAACTCAATGCTGTATTACAAAGATAGAACTAAAACTGTTTATAGCACAGTGAATACACAGTTAATTCATTCATAATTACTTCTTTTAGTATGCTAGCACTAGGAGTTCCAGCTGGTATCTGCATTTCAGAACTTTTGAGAAAACAAATGAATAAAGAAAATATTTTGCCAAAAATCATTCTATACTTAATCTTTATAAACAGTGGAAGTTATGCACAAATACAGTGGAATTGTTCATGCAACATTCTTCTAACTGCTCTTCTGATAACCTCATAATGTACAGTCATAGTATACACCTGCTTTTAGGAAAAATTATGGCTACATTTGATGCAGTAAAAAAGAGGAGACTGCAGCAAAACCCTTTGCATTTCTGAGTATACATATGCTTTGACAGAGTTGTTGCAAGAACATGTGTGTTTGTTACCATTCTGGCTGCATCTCCTCATGTTTCAACCTGTGAAGCATTAAGAATGTATGGATTTGTAACATATCTATGTACAATCCAAAACATTGTATTGTTGGGAATGTTCCTGCTGGCTATTGATGGTCTCAATTTGTCAGTGGAGGCCTCTGTAATTTGCAGTACATCTCAGTCCCACAGACCAGGGTGGTGTAAATTCAAACCTCTGTATTCAGTTCATGTGCTTCAATTCCTGCTATTGTTTTCAGTAGTTTCCACCAAGGGTGTGCTTTGCTTTGAGAACACAGTGCTCCATTCATCAACTTGAATTTTTTATTATATACTACTGACAATATGGACAGAGGGAGAGAATCAAACTGTCGAAATTCCACCTAAAGTATAATTTAATCAGACTCTGGGCGCCTGAGTCTGAGAATAATTCAAATTGCCCACTCTCAAGCACCACCCAACCCCTAGTGGCACCTAAAATGAATAATTTTGGACAACTGATTTCCCCTGGCGTCTGGGCATAAATTCCAGGCATGCTTAGAAGCACCATGGCTTAAGCAGAGAGGCATGTAACTCCCACCCAAGTTCCATTGTGACTCAAAGATGTGTGTAGAGATGCCAGAACGTTGCCCATGTCCCTAGAGGTGCCTAAGCCATTGACTGTGCTTCAGTCACACATAGTAAGCTTGGACAGTGTTGGATTCAACACAAACCACAGCAGACATGAGTGTTTTGAGTGTAGAAGAGGAAGAAAACACCTTTTTAATAGACTTAAAAGTCTGAGCAGTCACCTGGGAAGGATGTCTGGTTTGCTAAGGAAATTAGAAAAGAATGGGAGAACTTAACTGTTGTCCCATTGAAAAAGATATTTGCTTTTCATGGAGACCTCAGATTTTTTGCTCCCAAGTCTGATGATGTAATTTTGTTCAGACACTGTTGTCCAAAAAGGCATCTGGTTGAGAGATCAGATGTCAATGATACCCTCATCTGCTTGTCTGTGTTAATTTGTAAGTTCTTTTGTCTTGTCTTTATAGATAAATTTGCACACTTACCAGTTGCTACCCATATTTCTGTAACATTATAACTTGCTTAAAACCTGTCATCTCTCTTACTGCTTTTGGTGTAGACACCATGATTTACTACCTTAAGCTCATGTTCTCTGCTTGTGCTGTGTGTACATCTGTAGACTTTGAGGTGAGCTTGGTGTAGCTTTCCTTCACCCTTTTTGTCTCTCCTTTTCTTATTGTTTTTATAGTGTGCCATGTGGAAAGGTTAAATAATATGTGTTGGAGTACTTTTTGGGTTGTGGATGTGTGCAAAAACTTGCTTTTGAATTTTTTATTAATGTTTAATGCTGTTCCTTTATTGTTTTCACCCTTTACATAATACCTCATAAATTTTCTCAGGTTTTAAATGTTTGCAGATGTGAGCAGATGAAACAGTATTGTAAACATTCAAATAACTTCTGAATTTCAAATTCAGTATTCCATGAAATTTAGGTTTGGCTTTTCTCATGTTCCAACATGAGGTTTTATGTTCATTTTTCTGTTTGCTCTTTTATTTTTCTCATCAAATGTCATTATATTTATTCTTTAAAACATGTACATACTTTGCCCAAATTTGAGGATTGTTAACTGATTTTACAGATTAGAAGGTGCCATGGTAATAATACTTAAATATCACTGAAGTATCTTATTAATCATCTGTACCTAAGTCACTTCAATGCTCAATGCATGCTTTTATATTCTGTTACAATCACTTGAAGCCATTCAGGGAAGAAGAGCATAGGGGAAACTGTATATGGTAGCAGATAGCCTGCTGGTTTTCTGGATATTTCATCCCGCTGTTTTGTTCCTTTTCATCTTCACCATCTATCTAGAAGGGTTGACTGTGAACTCTACACTTTAAAGCATCTGTTAATGATTTTTTGGTCACCAAGGAATCTTCATATAGGCACCGATGATAACTCTTCTCAAAATAAGGATACTGCTTCTGTTAAGTTATATCTCTGCTATATGGTAGTAGTATTGTGTATTAAATTTCTGCTGTTCATTGGCCAAATACTGGAACAAGTTTCCCAAAGAGATGTGGAATAATTTCCATTCTAGATACTTCCAAAACTCAGCAGGACAGGACTTACAGTAACCTGATACAATTTTCAAGTCCCTACTTTAAGCCCAGCGTTAAATCCATTGACCTCCAGAAGTACTTTCCTACCTAAGTTATTTTGTGAATCTAACTGAATTTATCCTTAGTTCAATTCTGCTTAAATCTTGGCTCTTTAGTTGACTTCACTGAAATTGGTAATGTCCTTAGGAATTAATTTGATGTTGTCTGCTTTTCTCACTTCTCTTAATACAGTTTTCTTTGTCAGCTCAAAGGTAAGGGAAGTTAGAGTGAACTCCTGCTGGTTTTTGTAATGCTGGCCAATTCCTTAGCTCTTCTTTTTTTTCCTGAATGGTTTGGTAAACAGTTAAGGAAGGTAAATTTATATCACGGGTGCTCACACAACCAAACTTATTTGCGAAAATTCTGAAAGAAACACAATTTTAGAAGACTTAATACTGTCATACACCTAGATGGCTGTGAAAGCGTTAGGAAGGCATGCAGTGAAAAGCGATGGAGTGGTAGATGGGTGTGGGTGTGTAGAAAATAGTGCCACCTTGCCAAAGACTGCTTCTGCTTGTCTTCCAGACCTACAGTAACAATCATGGTTTCCCCTCTTTTCATTTGATGAAGACTTCTGATAATTTCTTTTCCACAGTTGTCTGTCCTTTGTCCATTAACGTGAATTCCCCAGTGTCCCCAATATGGAACTTAGCTGGGAAAGTTAATTGATTTTCGAGAGCTAATCAGATGCTCCCATCCACATCAGATGCCAGATATCCTGTCTAGCTTACAGCTGTAAACCTGAGATACCATCTCCATAGCCTGCCTGGGGTGCAGGAAATCGTAGGGCTGATCCCACATCCAGATAGTTTATTGTTCTGCACTCACACACTCATGCCCAATGAAGGTATTTTTTTTTATAAATCGTGAAACATGTTCTTTATGCTATATTTGAAATACAAAGTATGAAATCTACGTCTAAGTACAGCCAAGCCTATTCTCTTTTGCCTTGCTTTTTGGCATTCCAACATCTATAGCTGTACAGCAGCATATGGGTCCAGTAACAACGTGGGACAGCAGCCAATTTGGTCCTAGGATAAAACAGGAATCAGCTATGGGAAATGAGCCAAAGAAGTGTGATTCCCACATGAGGGACTTAGATAGGTGCTAGTCCTTAAAGAAGCTCTTTGGCAGGATTTAGAGCAGGCTTCTCTGCACAGGAGGCATTTTCCTGAGCTCCTAAGTACAGCAATGTCCAGGAGGGTTGTAGGGCTGTTGTTTCATCAGCTGTAGTGCTTTGCTCTTTCTTTGCCCCCACCTTTGTTGTTTGTCTTATTTTGGTTTTAAGAAAAGCTTTATAGCACATTGCTGTATAATTGTAATCCCAACAGTACTTTTTTAGAATTAAACCATTTGCTTCATGTGATTGTGGGAAATAAAATGGAGGAAATTTTTCTTCTGTGTGGGGGGGTCCACAGGTTTCCTGAACTCTGATCCAGGGAATGCTTTTTGCACCATGGCTAGCTGATTGTAAACAGCAATGTGAACGCTTTTGCTACTCCTGTGTTGTGCAGAGATCTGTGGTTTTAATTTTTTCACCTCCATCTTAGAAAATAAATCATTTGAAATGCAGAAGCTTCAAATTAAATAAGTTGATTGTACTATCCTAATTTATTTAGTAAAAAATTAGTATATATGATTACCAAAGGCTGTAGAGTTGAGGTACAGATTTCATTTTTTGTGAAATACAGACTTTTCAAAGAGTTCATGGAAGTGATGTTGAGGTACATTCTGTGATATAGGTCTGACTTTTTTTGAGACATTGATGCATGTTAGGTGAGAAAGTAATAACAAAATCAAACAACAATAAATCATTTGCTCTAAAATGCATTCCTTATTTTTTTTCAAGCTTGCTAAAGTCCAACTGTTCTGATGCTCAAGATGTCTGTGTCATTGCCCATGGAGGTCACTGGATCAAATCCCTGCTCAAAGCAGGACCAATTTGAAAGTTAGATCAGGTTATTATGAGCCCTGTCCAGCTGTGTTTTGAAAGTCTCCAAGGATGGGAGTTATTCCACAAATCCTCTACAAAACTTATTCAAGTATCCCAAGCAATAAACTGGAAAAATATGTATTTTAAAACACTTTCATGTGGGACATTCACTTTGCATAATTTCTTTTTAGAAATTATTTATATTAATCACAGATGCGAAAAAATTTAGAACAAAAATTAATAAAAAAATGTTCAGTCATTTATTCTTATAAAAAGACTGAATTGTACTTTTGTGAAGAAACACTTCTGAATGCTGAGGCCTGTGAATATGTATGAGTGGAGAAATTGTTTGTCTTCTTGTTTTCACCAGGTATTATTTCTGTTGGTTCCTTTTAAGCAGTGCTTGTTTGTATAAGAATAACAAGAAATCTTTCCTCCCTCCTGTTCCAGGCAAGTGTTTCCAAATGGGCTTCCTGAAGAATACTCTCTGGTTGCTACGTTCCGTGTACGGCGAAATACCAAGAAAGAGCGTTGGTATATATGGCAAGTTTTAAATCAGTATGACACACCTGAGGTTAGAGTCATCTTTGATTTATTCCTTCAAAAAGTTTCTTTTTTCCTGCATGTAATATGGCACCTGTAATAATGGATGTTTCATTAATGGATTTAGCTAAAGTTTATATGAAATAGATAGCCTGCTTTGAAATAACTGATAATTTGTGGCAAGAATGACAGAAATTTAGCAAAATCTATTCAATTTAGACTGCAAAATAGAATAAATGCCTGTTTTATTTATAGCTGATATGTGTTTACCAAGTTACATAGAAGAATGCTTCATGACATAATTCTTGCCCTGTGTATGTAGTAGAAATATTTTTATTATATATGTTTTATGTATGTGCTTCTTTCTTATAACTTTTAAATAACCACTTATTTTATTTTATCTTGTTTTCAGATCTCTGTCCTCCTGGATGGTACAAAAAAGGTGGTGGAGTATATGACCAAATCCTCTCAGGGAAATATACTGCACTACACTTTTAAGAGTCGAGAAATTTATCCATTGTTTGATCGGCAGTGGCATAAGCTTGGTATTAGCGTGCAGTCGGGGATCATTTCCCTCTATTTGGATTGTAATTTAATTGAGAGAAAGCAGACTGATGAGAAATTCACCATTGACTTGCAGGGAAGGACACTGATTGCTTCTCGTGCTGCGGATGATAAGCCTGTAGATGTGAGTAGTATGAAAGGACAAACAGATAACTTGAAGTCATGTCTTAGCCATGCTTTTGCTAACACAGTTGTAAAGAATCACGTAGATAAAATGTTCAAACCCAGTCATTATTTTTGAGTGTGTATTCTTAATTTGAAGTCCTTAAGTGTTTTTCTCTAAACATTATTCAATTATGTAGCATCTGCTAAGACAAAGCAGTTGCCAGAGTAACTGCATAGAACTCAGTCCTGGTTTAAGGAGTCTGTTTTTCTGTATTTGGAGAAAGAGCCACCTAATTGCCACAGATATAGTATTTCTATGTTTAGAGGTAACTTGCGGTTCTAATTATTTTCTTTCATTTTTAGTAAGATTTATTTATAGATTGGTATCAGTCACCTGTTACACTTTGTCTGTCTTTGACAAAGGGGAGACACAAAATAGTTAAGGATTACCTCCGTATTGAGGTCTTCTAGAGTAATTCAGCTATGTAGAAAAAGGGGCACATTGTTCATAATTGTCTCTCCTTTATCCAAAAGAGAGGGATTAGGAAGTGGCCAGAGGTGTGTTTCCTGCAGCCTTTGGTGCAAGAATTACCCAAGGAAACCCCATAATATTCTGGGCTATTTTCTGTCCCAGGGATGCTCTCTTCTGTTTCCTCATGCAGGGAGGAAAGTAATTTGAAAGCAAGTAATTTGAAACACAGCAAGTAATTTGAAATCTTCAGGAAATATTAGTTTGTTTTAAGTACAGTGACATGCAGCTACCAGGTTTAAACCATCTGCCTTCGGGTTTATAGTGACCATCAGAAAGCTTCAGCGATGTTGTGTATGCTGTAGGGCTCCAGAGGAAAACAGCACATTGTAACTGCGAGAGCAGTTACATGGAGCCAAGCTCATGCTTTGTTTTATTTTATAAGACTTGAGTTCAACATTATTTGAAATATTGCACTGTCTCCTCATTTCCAAATAACATGCAGCAGAAAAAGCAGGGTTTTTCTGCTGGTTGCATGGTATGAGGTGGATAATTCTGAGTGGAAGTTGTCAATTGGGATTTCCACGTTTGCAGGAAAATATTATGGGCTTAAAACTGATGAAGGCAGCAGAGCAGATCCTAGAGCAAGGGTCACTTTTCTCAATACCAAGTGCAAGAGGGAGATGAAGAGGATATAAAACTGATGCAGAAAGAGGAATATGAGGGCAAGAATAACTGGTTAGAATTTTACTTTCTTCTCATCTTTCCAATCCACCCAAAGTCTCTCAAACAAAAGCTTTACCTACAGAATTGGTGATTTTTGCTCTTCAGTTAACTTAGTGGCAATGTCCTGGCAAAGGTCTGTCCAACACAATAGATGCATGTGATAGAGAGTTTATCAAACCTTTAGTTTAGTTGCCTGCAGAGGAAAATTACATTCCTGAAAAGAAGGTTTGCAGAGGGTAAAAGGTTTGCACAAGGCTAAAATTCTTGTGTAATATAGCAAACCAATACAGATGGATGCAGCTTAAATGAAAATAAATGAAATCTAAAATGTGATTTACATCAAAGTAATAGACTGCATAATTTGGTCCTTAAATGCGGAGCTGTGTAATTCTTTTGGGTTTGTATTTTTTCTAGCATTTTTGAAATATACAGTGTTTCAAAGAGAAAGTTTACTACCCCAAGATAAGAAAAAGCATGCTATAACACATAATTTTTTACACCTCATATTAATTTCTTTTGTATTCCTTAATAGATTGAACTTCACCACATAGCAGTTTATTGTAATTCACAACTTGCAATAGAAGATACATGTTGTGAAATATCTTCAGACTTGGTAAGTTAGCTGTTAAAATTCAAATGTTAATACAAAAGAAATTGCATTATTGTTTCCTGATAAAGAGCTGTAAAAAATTTCAACAGAGGTGATAGTTTAATTATCTCCTAAAAATGAATTCCCTATCTGGAGTCATGGTACATAATTTTTTGCTGCCTAAATAAATGGTACAGTGGAACATCAGCAAAAGGCACTAGGTGCTGCTAGTGCTTTTTATCTGTATCCCTTGACATTGATTAATGTCTAATTAGGAACTGAAGAAGTCTAGGAGTGTAGGAAACAAATCACTGCGATGGCTTGGGAATGATTTCTAACGACAGAGGCCATTTCAGTAACAGTTGCATCTTATGAAGCTTTACAGATCATATAAGCAAAGCCCATGAAAGAGTCTGCATGACAGAGGAAGAGAAGGAAAATAGGATGGTGTTTAGTTTTCTTTATTTTAATATACTAAAATGGAGGAATGGGTCTTTAATAACTGGAAAGTTGTAGTGGTAGGTCGATGCCTGGACTTGATCCTACAGGTCTCTTCCAACCTTCATGATTCTGTGAATTACTTTCTTTAGAATGCACATGTTGACATATATATATTGTTTAACATGAGGGAAAACATTGATTTAGTTTAAAGGGTTCACTTTTCCCTCTTGTTTTGGCAGACAAGAATCAGTGTAAACTGGAAAACAGTAGAACCATAGCTTGAAGTTGTAGGTGTAATTATTTTGCATTTTATCTTGCATTAAAAAAAAAAAACCCAAAAAAAAACCCAAAAAAAAAAAAAAAACCCAAAAAAACCAAAACCCAACCAAACCACAAATAGCCTCAGAAAGAAGTTGGTTTTAAATTATTGGCCTGCTATTCATAAGTAGTCTGTAAGATCAGGCTCCTCTGAGACAGCGGACAGTGCCATCACCACCAAGGTTGTAGTCGGCAAAAAAACCCCAGAGCCTGTAGGAGGACTGATTGATTACATTCACAAAGAGATAGGAGAAAGTGTACCTGGATGGGAGAGAGAAATCTGCCCAAGAACAGAAGAACACAAGACTGCTTAGTGCTCAGAAGCATGAAAAAAACATGGTCTAATTCCAGGGGGCAAATTTCAATTTTAAACAATGATTAATAGTTCAAATTTATTTCTAAGTATATTCTTGATAGTAATGCAGATTTTCTCTTGAATGTATAAGCTTATGAAAAAGTGGAATTAATTAATTTCCTGTATGTTCCCCTTGGTGTTTGGAAATACAATTTATTGAGCAGTTATGACACAATAGCAAAAAAAGCAAGAACAAAACAAATCCTAATTATATATGAAGACAAAAAGCTCAACAATAGGCTTTATCAATAACACATAACTATTCATTCATCTGTGTAGCTAAATCCTGTGGGAATTTCTCTGACAGAAGGTTCAAAAAAAAAGCTTCATTACATCTTAATGAGATTTACTGAAATTTAGCAGGTTCTATTGGCTTGTCCCGTTTCTTCAGGTTGGCTCAGTTCTCAGGAGTCACAGGCAGGTAAATCTTGGCTTCAGTGCTATTTTGTTTGTTTCCAAACTATCTATACCAGAAGTATTTAACTACAAGGGAAAAAAAAGAAAAGTTTTCCTTAGCATTCACTTTTGTATTTTGCACTTAGGGGGATGGCAGAGGGCAGGATGAGACTATGCAGTACTATCTTTTTTCTTTCACCCTATGGACATTTTCTGTTTCACTACTTCTGATTTTGGGAGACTTTGTTCCTCTTCACTGCTCTGTCTTTTGGAAGAAAGAAGTGGGACAGACATATCAGTTTTAACTGGCATAAATTTTAGAACAGAAGGATCTAAATATCTAAAATTGATTTTTTTTACAGCTTTTTTCTGTCTGGAAATTGTTGTCACTTTCCATGTATGGTTTGTATAGGAATATTCGAACAGAAGATAGCTTAAAACAAGTGGTTGGATGGTATTTACCTGTTAACTAAAGTGGACCAAAAACCAGAAAATCTTTTTGTTTTAGTGCCCACGTGAGGAGAGGTTACTGGCTACAACTTCATCACCAGTGACTGTTCGTGCCAGCAAAATATACACTCTTCCAGGGACGCAGCAAGAATCTACACAGAGATGCCACTGCTTTCCAAATAAAGTATAAAGTTTTCCTATTGCTTTTTAAATGCATCATGCTGTTTAATCCTGTTGGATATAAAAACATTTGGAATTTTTTTTTCAGTCATGAACAAATCTTACTGGTTTGTTGTATTATAATACATTTACATTGTGTTTCCCAGTTAAGAACCAGTACATTTCAGATTTAGTTAAATCCAAAAAGTAAAGTAAAGTTAGAGATGTCAGTAAGGTTTAGTTGTTTGAATATACACCCAAAAAAGTGCCATGGTAAAACTGAGAATTATATTTAGGCATTATATTTAGTGTAAATGTTTTCACTTGAGAATGAATTATATTCTACGTAATGTTTGTTTTCTTTTTAATACTTCTCCTGGGTGTTGCACTATATTTATTGAGTCATTTGCTTTGTTAGGCATTTGTGACAAAGACAGGAAACCTAACCAAATATATTTTAGATCTGCTTTGTTGACTTTTTTATTTCTTTTAAAATCAGGGAGAAGCAGGATTGCCTGGAGTAGCTGGTTTGCCAGGCCAGAAAGGAGAGAAAGGTGAAAAGGTAAAATATCACTTGAATTCTCTTTTTCAAGCCTTGTCATTGGCTTATCTTTCTTAAATCGGAATTATATGGATTCTGTTATTCCTTAAAGGAATCTGCCTGAACACAGGGCGGATCCTTTATCAGTCAGTGTCTGGCTCTGTGTGTGAGCTCCCTGCCAGGCATTTTACAGCTGCCCCACTTTGGGGTCACCTCATCAACTCTGTGGAGCACAGTTTACCTGCCTGGGAAGCACATGCCTCCCCAGCCCTGTCACCTTGCCCCATACAGAAGGCATGTATATAGTCTGACAAGAATTTTTCCATCCCCTGTATGTACATCACTGCTGATGGACACAATTCCGTGTGGTGGAATCATCCTTGCAATCATCAGTAGGAAGGTGTGAAACATCACCTCTGTATATTCTTTGACAACGCTCATACCTGAAACTGTTACTTGTGAAGAAAGAAGAATCTGACGTTGGCAAGTCTCTAGGACAGGCCAGTTGGTCCTGTCCTTGGGCCTTTTCTGAATTTTCCTGTGATGCTTACCATGATATTCTTATGCTATGTAGCTTGGGATTTCCTAATAGTATAGGTCAACATATCAGATGTTTCTCTTTCACACTCCATTCCTTAAATTTTATTGGAGGATGCTGAATTAAGACATGTCTGGGAATGTGTTTTCCATGTGCTATTAGAGGGGGCAAATTGAATAATTTACTGCTGTAAATCTGCCACAAAGACAGTGAGATAGGAATTGAGTACAGGGAATGCAGTGTGAGAGGAAGATGCCTAGACTGTCCTGATCCAGAGGTTAGATGGAGGTATCCTAACCCAACATCCTGCCCTGCAGCACACCATTTAATATGAGATCTGAAATAGTTTGTGAAGACAGCCAGGGCTGTTCCTATAACTGTAGTATGTGGCTGAAAAGGGTCCAGTTCTGAGAAGGCTTATCTACACATCTGGTTGAAATTAAGAACATTCCTTGACAGTATATTGCCCCCCACCACAACTCCTCCCCTCCAGTATATATTTCACTTTTGACACAAGCTGTATTTTTAGGTGAAAAAAGAAGTACACACATGTTAGTTTCTATAGTCCAGCTGAACCTAGAGGGACTGCTGTCAGTTTTCAGACCTAATCACAAAGTTTTGATCTGGAGCATATTAAGCAATTGTCAGGTTTTAGTTTTAGCTTTATCTTACCAGCCTAGGGAGTTTCCTAGCATTTGTTTGGGAAACAGTTCTTCTGCTCCTGACCTGATCCATTTAGACCATTATTGCTACTAAACTGGGAAAGCAGACTTCACAAGTCTGATTTTTTTTTTTTACCATTTAATCTCCCAGCCAGTTAGTGGTATTTACCATGCTAAGCATAGTGCCTGTAAACAAAGCATGTAAGGTTCTGTTCTCCCACTTGTTTCATAAAAAGAGCCTCATTGCATGAATTCTCTGTGCCTGGAACTATCTGAGAGTCCATGAACCCCCTTGCACCCAGAAGTTTAAGAGAGTCTATTGACATTTATGAATGTCCTCTCACAAAATTGAATGAATCAGCAGGTTGAAGTCAGGGGTAGTACACCAGACAGGTAGAAAGATACTTAACTGGAAATTTTCTTATAATTGACCTTGTTACTTCCTAACTTTGCAGTGGGTAGATTTTTTCTTTGTTGGGGGGAAGGGGGTTTGGATGGAGGGCACAGTATGACTGTGATCAGGATTGGCTCACTGACCTTTGGGAGCAAACAAATCTTGTGTTAAATAGTGCCTGCCATGATGGAGCTGAAAGCAGCATTCTCTGAGATTTCAATACCATTTTTCTCATTGACTCTGCATTTACGCAAGTTTTCAGTAACACTCATTCTCAATGACGGCCTTGTTACATCAATAATTAGACCTGAAGAGGCAGAAAGGCTCTCGAACATTCCAGACGTGCAGGATGACATGACTTATTGTCAGATTATGTAAAGGAAACTAACAGACTCTGGCTGAGTGTCTTGTAATATATTATACACAAAATAGGCAGCTTCTTGATAGCTTTGCTGGCCAGTTACAAAAAACAGGTCTTCTCTTAGTTGTGTGTGGTTCCTAAGCACATTTCCCCCTTTGGTTGTGCTCAGCTTCTCATTTTATTGTTTCTTTTGTTTCTAAGGCCTATTACTATAGGCATCTGACTAACTGTACTTAAATGTCTTTTCCAAGTGAAAATGTTAATTTTTTAACCTTCTTTAATGAGAAATTTCTATTTCTGTTGCTATTATCTCATTTTAAGCACAACAGTTCTTATCCTTTTATTTTGCTTTATCTCATTCCAATTTCTCATTCACTTTAATTAATTGTATGATTGAATTTACATCTTTGTTTGTTGCTATGGGATTGACAAGGAAGTCTCTACCGACAGAGACTGATATTAGGCTATATTCAAACCCCTCAAAATTGCCCTTCTCTTCAGTCTAACATCATTGTTCCCTAAGGTCAGACTATTCAGGAACATCTAAGCTATCACCTATCAAAGCTATCAAAGTGTGATAAGCTGTCAAAGTATGATAACTTGTAAGCCATTTTAGGCATTTTGAATTTAATTATTAGCCTGTATCCACTCCATTCCTGTACTCTTGGCTCATCTTAGTACCTCTGAACAGGTCTGAGCCAAAATTCAAAGTATATTGCAGGCCCAAAGAACTGGAGTGCCATATTTTCACTGGAACAAGCATTCATGCAAATATTGATTTATCCCTGGCAAGCTGTGCATCTGAATGCGCAGGAGCATCACTGATCAAAATGATGCCATGTGTGTGAATGACCTTCCTGTTTGTACACCTGGCCTTCCATTATGACTTCATGAGGACTGATCTCCACTCAAACTATTATCTCCCATCCTTTGGGTGTGAAATACTTGGTTTGCCCTGCAGGATATTTTTGCTGGGAGATCAGCTTCTGCAGCAAGGGACTGTTCTTTAATTTCTCAATAATTAAGACTGAAAAAAATTGCCTGGGCCAAATTTGTTTGTTACTTACTAAGTGTACAGTTTGGACTATCCCTAAATAATATGCTGTATAATTCTCATGACAGCTTGATTCTTAGCACAGAGTGTTTCAGAAGTTGCAAGTGGACATAAATCAGGTGGAAGTCTTCTGTGATTTTAACACATTTTGGTATCTGCTGTGGAGTTGGGTTTTCTCTTCTGCTGATCTGAGTGAGATATTTACTCAGATTTACAGTGTTTTTTATTTGGTTGCAATTTGTACTACTTCAGTGTCATATTTAGCTACTCGTAATCTTATAAACATATTTGTTGTTAGCAAATGCTTTTTGATAATGTTGTAAAGGTCCTGTTTTTGTCCTCAGTATGTAGAAATTCTTCAGAAAGACAGAATATGGGTGACCATAATTGGAATGATTACATATATGCTGAATAAATAAACTGATTTTCTCTCTCAAGGAGGCTAAAAAATTACTATGTTTTCTACTTTTATTTCTTTTAAACAGACTAAGTGCCCATGAAATATTTTAAATTGAAATCTAAACAGAATTAAATATTTTGATATAATGTTAAATCAATGTTAGCTGTGTTAATAGGTCATTGGTTAATGCTGTAAGTGAAGTAGGGACCAAAAAGCCAGAGGCAGATTGCTTTCAAATATTAAAATGCCTGTTGATGTACACCATGGAGAAATTTATTGCTATTCAACTTCATTAATTTAAATTTTACTTAAGGAAAAAGACATTTAAAAAGCTATTTTGGGTTTGGTAGAGATAGGTTTATGCAATATATTTTTGCACTAGGAAAATATTTGTAATAGAATGATATGAAAAAGATCTCCTGGAGAACAAATGAGGTGTCTGAACTGTTCTTTCTCTCCGTTTTCCTTCGTACTCTTTCTTTCCTGCTACTCTGACTTTCCTCTTAAAATCCAGTCGACTTGATTCCACCTAAAGCATATCTATTGTACTATGCAGCCTTGAGAATGGTTCTCTTCTGGCCCAGTCTTTGTTGCTGAGGTTGTTGATAGGGACCTAGAAGCTGGAATTCAAGAAAATTAAGAAAGTTGAGCAAAATATGGCTGGCTATCACTTATGACAAAGTCAGTACACTTAATAGAAAAGAATCTTACAATAAGCAGAATGAAATACTTCATGCTTACCAACCTAAGAATTTATGGATAGTCTCACTTATGTTTTGCCATCTAATTGTCTAAGTTATCAAATTAAAAAGGGAAAATATCATAGGCAACACAACCATTTTTTTCTTATTAAAAATTCTGAAATGTGACTTACTGTCTTTGTTACCGTGTTTGCCATTCCAGTACCCATCTCAGTCCTGAGTTTAAGACTACCTGAGGAGTGGAGATGGTAGCAACAAGTCCTCACCACTCCGAGGTGCTCAAAGGTGTGGGGGAATATCACACTTTCCCACTGGGGCCATTCCAGAGCTGAAACAGGAGCAGCAGCCACTGGCACTGGTGCAGTAGTTAAACCAGTGACACCCAGCTCAGGCCTTGGTGAGGCTGGGCTCCTGCTCTGATGGGACAGAACACAGCTGGGGGCTTCTGCTGGGAGTAACAGGGATGATACTTCCTCATCTGTATACTCCCTGCTGGTCCCACAGTACCAGGGAAACCCTGGAGTGGTGCTGTCTTTTGGATGAGTTTTTTTTCTCCTAACATTCAATTTTTTTCTTTTTGCTAATAGAAACTTTTCTGAGTTTTGTTTTGCTCTTTTTTTTTTTGTTTTTTTTTTTTTTTTTTTTTTTTTTTTTTTTTTTTTTTTTTTTTTTTTTTTTTTTTTTTTTTTTTTTTTTTTTTTTTTTTTTTTTTTGGGTTTTTTTTTTTAACCTGGACATTTCTGGTGAAGGGTCCTGTTTTTAGCTGGGACAGAGTTCATTCTATTCACAGTAGCCAGTATGAGGATGTGTTTTGGATTGGTGCTGGAAACAGGGATGATAACACAGGGATGTTTTCATAATTGCCAAGCAGCGCTTGCACAGTGTCAAGGCCTTTTCTGCTCCCTTCAGCAAAGGGCTGGCAGTGCATGAGGTGCTGGGAGAGGACACAGCCAGGACAGGTGACCCCACCTACCAAAGGAATATTCCATCCCCTACACGTGGTGCCATGATCAGTAAATAAAGAAGTATATAAAGCAGTGGGAAGAAGGAGGAAGTGGGGGGACATGTCAAGTGATGCCATTTCTTCCCAAGTCACCACTATATATGATGGAGCTCTGCTTTCCTGGGGATGGCAGAACACCTGCCCTCCCACGAGAAGCTCAGCTGAAAAGGATTTTCACTGTCACTCTTAATAAATCCTGACAGTAGATTTACAGCTCATGGTTCTACCTTTGGCTTTTACACTGTGTGTACCTTATAACCTATAAATGCCAGCCTTGTACTACTACTGTTCACCACCTTACAAAGCTGTTTTCCCAGCAACTTATCTTTCACTTTTGTGGAGGACTTTAAGGTCTTCAGAATGAAAAGGAATTACCATTAAGAAAAATATAAAAATATTAAAGATGCATTTCCTATATTTTTGGTTTTAGTCTGTGGTACTATTTCTATTAATACTGTTAGATACCTATAGTATCTGATATTTATATTCATAAAGGCATGAAAACTACCACCTTTCCCCCTGTGGTTATTAAAATCACAACTAGAAGGTAGAAGCATAACTTGCAGATCTAATTTGCAGTGGAAAATAATTGTCTTCAAGATGGGGAGTCTGTCTGCAGTTAGTGGAACTGAAGTGTAAACATACCTTGGTTAATTGGCTAGTAAGTCATACAGGCTAAAGGCTTCCTGGCATGTAGCAAGCTGTGTAATTTTAGACTACACAGTGTATAAAAATACACCCCTGAAGGTAACACAGTGGTACTGGTCTATTAAAATACTGGCAAGTGGCAGAAGGGAACAGAGGATGCAAGATAAGAGAATGACTCTGTGGGTAATTAGATAAGGTAACCTTTACCTCTCACAGTGCCAGTGGATTCATGCTATTCATGCATACAGGATTTTGGTCTATTTTTGAGACAGAGCTGTTTAATATAAATCCATTGTCTGGGTGAGGGCATACAGTTTATACTCAGTAAGAACAAGTCCTATGAGGAATGCCTGAGGGAACTGGGGGTATTTAGGCTGGAGAAAAGAAGTCTCAGGGGTGACCTTAATGTTCTCTACAAGTGCCTGAAAGGAGGTTGTAGGCAGGTGGGGGTCAGGCAGGCAGCCAATGACAGGGATAAGAAGAACTGGCCTCAAGCTGGGTGACAGAAGGTTCAAGTTGGACATCAGGAAGAATTTCTTTGTTGAAAAGCTGGTCAGTCCTTGCAATGAGTTGCCCGGGGAAGTGGTGGAGTCACTCTCCCTGGAGGCATTCAAGAAGCACCTGGACATGGCACTTGGTGCTGTCGTCTCATTGACATGGTGGTGTTCAGTCAAAGGTTAGACTTGATAGTCTTGGAGGGGTCTTTTAACTTTTTAACCTTTATAATTCTGATACAACTATTGTTGTGTACTTCTGGCCAATCTTACTGTTCCTTTTTCAACTTCGGAAAGGTTAATAACTTCATTTTAGACCAGAGTTGTAATGTTATTCTTTCTGGATAATGTTCTTTTCTTGGTAGAAGTAGGCACAACTAACATTTTGTTTTGTTTTTAAATGAACACTACATGGTTTCAGTGCTTTTGTTGTATTCCTCTGGCATCCAAATTATTTTTTTATTTTAAAATTTTTAAGCCTTATACTTAACATTGTTTAGCAACATTTCTGGGTTTGACATTTTCTTGCATAATTTTTAAGACTTATGGTCCAATCTACAGCTGTTGGGATCTTCCATAGCTCTCCTGACCAGTCAGTCATTTTTCTCTCAAAACTGAAATTTTCATATAGATTGCTTATGATTTGGGATTTTATCTCTAAAGGGATAAAAGGGAGGAAGAGAGAAATTTAAATAGTGCCTTTCAAAACTATTGAGGGTACATGACTTTGTACAAATCTGTATTACATGTTGAGCTTTCTCAGTGTAGAACTGAAAATGTACCCTCTTGGTTTCAGTCTTCTGTTGGTATAAATTCCTTTAAAATTAGTGGACTTGCTTTTATGGAAATGTGGATATGCAAGTATTCATCTGATGAAGGACTTAATTGATGTTATAGGTGTTTAAAATGCATTTATTTTGCTGATTTTAGTGCTACATGTAAGGCATCTTCCTCCACAGTGGTTGAATTACTAAAAAGTTAGGTAGAAGATGCTTTTGTATTGAGTCTGACATGACCTGAGTAGTTGTTGTTAACCTCAGAAGTCCATAGAGCTTCTAATTGATCGATTTGTTTTGTAGGGAGAGATGGGTGTGAAAGGACCGGATGGTGTTGCAGGTCTGCCTGGTGAAAAGGTATGTTCGTGTTTGTTGAGTTGTGATTTAACTCAGGGAAGTGTTCATTATGTCAGTGGCTTCTCTGTAATTGCCCACAGAAATGGCAGGATAGAACATTTCTATTAGAACTTTAATATCTTACCTGCACTGCCATGTTTTTGTAGCACACTGGAAAAGCTGTTCAGGTCAATAGTATTCTCTGCAGATGTGCATGTTTGGTGGGGTTTTTTCCCAAGAAGTGGGGATTATATACAGAGCTAAAGGAAGCTGCTTGTTTTTGTTCCACCTGCTCAGTCTGTTGTCTGCAAGCTTAGATAAGAGCTCTTGTGCACTCAGCAGTCTGCTCAGTAGAGCTTGAGATAAACACCACTGACTTCTTAATCAAAGGTTTGGAATAGCCATGGCTAAGAAGGCATGCCAGCCTACTGGTGTATTCAAGGATAAGTTTCACTTCATTTCAGAATGTTGGCATGAAAAATAAGACAGTTCTATGCACTTGCTGGGTTCAGTGCTACTTACCTGTATTAGAGGAAGTCTATGAGTCTAATAGCTAGAATCTTCAGTATAGAGACAGCCCTCATAACACTGAGGAAACAGCTTGCTGTCAGGCTTAAACCTTTGGGTTTACAGGACATAAAATTATGAAATCATCTTTTATTTTTACTTACTATTTGTGTTTCAAATTGTGATTTTTTAAAAATGGGAGGTAGATGTATATTAGCAAAATTAAGAGTAAAAATCAAGGTGTTTGTTGCTGATGTTAAGTTATATTGGTAGAAAAATGGAGAACAGGCTGTAAAGATGTTCAAAGGAATTTGCCACATTGAACAACTGAATTGTCAAGTGGTACGTAAAACTCAGAGAAAGCAATAGGCAAGTGATGCAGATGAAGAGGAAAACAAAGGAAACATTATGCATTTCATGCCAGACTGAACTAGCTATTACTGTTCAGGAATTACAGATCAAGGAAAACATGGACTCACTGTTTAGCACTAGTGAAATTACTAGGAAGAGAATAGAGAACAAAGAAAAAGAGTTTTAATGTCACCATTTTTAATGAATTCCTCTGTATTATGCTGAAACTTGAATGATGTGTACAGTTCTGGTTCTCACACCTCAGTGTGAATCTAATAATACCAGAAAAGATTCAGGGGTGTCATGAGTGATCAAGAGCACCAGACATCTTCCAATTAAAGTCTGACAATGTAAGCTTCAATCTGAAAAAGGCACAATTAAGAAAAAAACATGTCATATTCTGTTCTCTGTACAGTCCTGAATGGAGCAGAAGAGATTAATAGGGATTGATGTATTTATTTTATTCTTCATTGTGCAAATTAGAGCATCAAACCAATCTGATAGGTTCAAAAAGGATAGAAAGAAAAGATAGGCTCATTCTTCCTGCTACAATATTAGTTTGAACACTACCACAGAACTTGAAAAGCCTGAAAATGTATTAGAAAATTAGTGGAGTAAAATCCATTGAGTGTGTCAGTCTGCTTGTACTTCAAGAGGCTGGAATCTGGGAAAGCCACAGGAGGAGTCTTTATGGCTGCCCTGTTACATTTTTCTGTAGACATCTGTTGTTGCCATAATTGTAGTCCTGTAATTGACTGGAGAAACCTTTGTTTTGATCCAGATAGACAGTGTTTTACTTTACTGTGCTTCTAGATGTGAATTAATGGAAAGAGTTATTGTAAAGCATTGTAGATTGAGATTGATCTAGATTGTGTTTTCCCTTGGCTCTTTCCATAGCTCCTACTCTGATGTTATCTTGCTATAAACTTACCAGGCTACATTGCTTTTCCAGTCCAAGTTATTATTATTACAGTTTCCATGGTTAATATTGTTTGGGTTTTTTTGCTAAGCGCCTTGCAAATTCATTGTCAGGCCAAATCCCAAAGCTCCTGTTAGTTTACATGGGGCTCAACAGTCAGATCTTATTTAATATCCAGACATTGTACTTTTTCTGAACGTTACAACTCTTTAAATTCAGCCTATGTAAAATACAAATTACAAATGAACTGCGAATTCAAAATGAACTACCATGAAATACAAAACTGTCAAAGCTTAAAACTTCTAAAATAAAAAAAGAAAGCCAAGTATTTTCTACATGCATGGCTAGATGAAGAAACTGAGATCCAGCTGTCCAGCTTCTGCTAGCCAGTGTGGTCATGTCTGTGTGGAGTAGTGCAGTGCTGTGTGTGTTAGCTCCTTTCTGGAGCTGGAATGAATATTTTCCTCATGTTGTGGAAGGTGCTAAAGTGTTCTCTCCCAGGTGATGCATAAAGAACTATATACATTTGTAGCATCTTTTATTTTTGTGTTCCCCTAAGCATGGTGTTCCAGATGCTAACATTGTACATAGAGTTAAAGACAACAAAGTGGAGGAGCAGCACCAAACTTGTCTGAGTTGAAGAAGCATTTGGACAAAACACCCTCAGGCACAGGGTGGGATCCCTGGGGTGTTCTGTGCAGGGCCAGGAATTGGACTTGAAGATTCCAATGAGTCCCTCACAACTCAACATACTTTATGATAAAAATAGTCTAAGCTCTGTTGTTTACGAAGGCATCTCCTACATTTCAGGCTGTTGAGGTGCAGACTGTGCAGTGCTCGGAGAGCCTTCTGAGGAGCTATGGCTGTTTGTGTATCCTCTTAAATCCTTCAGCACACGTTATCTATTGCTGGAGGTGTTAAATTGCTTAGTATGGATTAGCTTAGTTTTTGCACTGTGTTTCTGAGCATTGTGCAGATGTGTTCCTGAGTCAGTAGCTAGAAACAGGAAGAAGGAAAAATAAGTTATACTAATTTTTAAAATTTAACTGAAGATTGAGGCTTTGAAGACCAGAGGTGCTCTTGATAGTACTGCCAAAATCTATCCACTGCAATATTCCTTTGCTTGTACTTCATTCCCTGGGAAAATGTACAGAGAATAAGTAAGCAACAGATTTTACTCATGTTGTTATGCACAAGCAATAATATCAATTCATTTGACCTATTTTAGATGTTTACCTTAGAATGAGATAAACTTGGCTGTTGAAAATCCTGTTTCTTTAGATTGATTATCTCAAACATACTTTATATACTGAAAAACTAAATTTAGATTAATAAAATACAATGGACTTCATAACTTGAGAGAATCATAACAGGAGACTCTCCCAGAACAGTGCTTGGTGCTCCTATACTTAATTTTCAAGATGTGGGTAAATGGTGAGACATCTGTGAGTCTTCATATATGGCCTTGACTTTCAAGGATCTTATGTGTGAAAATTGTTCAGTCTGTCTTCAAATGTGACACTTTGCCTTCTGTCACTTTCAAGACGTATTGTCACTGACAGCATAATTTCCCAAGCACTAAATGCTGAAGTGGTTTTGCCACAGTCTGCTGGCTAATAGGTGCACAAGTAAGCGATGCAGACTTCTAGAAGGCTCTTGCCAATTAAGAGGTTGGATCTGCTGAAGGCTAATACAGAGAACAGGCTTGATGACTCTATGTTAACACAAGAATAGCCTTAACACCCTAAAGAAACCAGAGGAATGTTCTGGCCATAATTCAGCAGTTTTGTGGATTTTTCGGATGTAGTTCTTGTAAGCTGCCAAAGTAAAAAATGAGGTTTTCATTTACTGGTGGCACACCACAAGATGCGTGTTGTCTCATCTGCCTTTAGGTTAAAAGAAGCCAGTCATGGTGCTGATGACCAATCTAGAGAGTCAAGGATCTAACACAGACCCAGTGGAGCCCTACTTCAGGCCCCCAAAGTCACAACACAGTAGATAGCACCATTACATATGTGACTGTCTATTTGATGTCCACCTATCTAGTTCCTTCTCCCCATCCTTTTTCAGGAAATTGTCTTAAGAGATTTTTCTTTTAAATAGTAAAACCTGCTTTGGGCAACAGGACAAATTCTTGAGATTATCAGAGGAGATAGTTCTCCTAGGTATTTGTTTATAGTTATAAATTAAGAGGGTAGTAGTCTTCCCTTGGAGGGAAATTTGCTTCCTTTGTAGATGATTAGAAGAGACAGAATACAGTGGCATGATCCCTTTCCTGCAATGGGGACTGATTTCTAGCTCAGCCTTCTAGGCACTCTTCTTCAACATATCTGTTAAACCATGATATAAGAACAACTGGAAGTTGTGGTTAAGCAGAATCTCTATATGTATGAGACCTTAGGCTCTGTCCTTCTGGCAATGTTCAGCAAAGGCTGTGAGTACAGAAGAAATGTGTTGAAGGAAGCACTGTGTTAGCCTACTTTTTGGTGATTAGCAAGTGAAATTGCCTCTGGATACAGTCCTGAAGCCATTTAGTGTAATGGGATTGTAGCCAGAGTGCTAGTTATGGCATGAGAAATTAAATCTGTCCCTGAAGTGGAGGTTTGAGGTGACTGGACTGCTTTAAGATATAATATGACAGTCACCTATCCTCTCCAGAAATCATCCAGTCCTGATCTAGCAGTTAGATTCATTATGGCCACAAAAACTGATTGCTCAGCCATTAAGAATGGCCTTCCTCTCACTGCTGTCTACAGGGTCACATCACGGGCATAACCCGAGCAAGGTCAACACATTGCTGTAAAATATTTCTGTCTTAAAAAGTGTAATGATTTTCCTAGTGTTCCTGTACTACTGAAATGGAGAGACAACATTCCTGTTGGTGTGACCCACAGACTTCTCCCTAAATGAAGTCATAACATCATCCTACTTCATACAGATTGAATGCAGGTCCTTTCCATAGCACCCACTGGGGGATTGTTACAGACTTCCCTGGCATGTTTTGTGTTGTGTCTCTGCACAAAGCATATCATGTGATGGATCCTCCCACTACTTACAGGGGGCTTATAAAAAAAGAGACAGGGCTACCTTTTACAAGGGCAGATAATGATAGGACAAGGCGGGATGGTTTTAAACTGAAATATGAGAGCTCTAGATAACATGTCAGGAAGAAATTCTTCACCCAGAGGGTGGTGAGGCACTGGAACAGGTTGCCCGGAGAAGTTGTAAATGCCCCATTGCTGGA